CCCTCAAAATCATCTATACATTTAAAGCAATTCCTCTGAATCCCAATAAAGGATTTCCACAGCACCTAAAGACACAAGGATATGTAAAATTTGCCCTCTTGTTTCAAATACTAACCAAGATTAGAACATTAACAGAAAGCTCAGTTTTTTAACTCAGTACTTTAAAGTTTTGGTTTAGGTTAAAAACATTTTTAAAGTTTATTCATAAGTATTACTTATATAAACAACTTAATGAGTGGTTGCATTCATTAGGTTAAAAGTTTTTCAAAATTTACTTTCCAGATGTTATAAAAACCAGAATAAATAAGCACTTTAAAAACAAATTCACCACTCTCTTTAGATTGCAGAGGTATTTTTTCCAATACTTAATACACTAAGCGAAGAATGAACACTCATCACAAAATTTTAAAAACTGTGTACAAAGTCTTGTGCTATTTTGCAGATGAGGTTCACTAAGGATGAACAAGCAAGAATACAAATAAGGAGAGGAAAACATAATTAAATGTAAGTTCTTGGTAATGTTTTAGCTCAAGTTATATGATAGATTCGCAAGTATTTGATTATATAAGGATGGATATGTAATGATACAGTTTGTCATGAATCAAACTGTATCTGAAATCCAAAATAGAAAAAAAAAACAGATCACAAGTCACAAATCAACAAGACCTAAAGGTAGGGACAATGACATAGAAGGACTCTCTCAAAGTAAACATCAAATCTTTAACAAGTATTTTATTTAGTTTAAAATTATTAAAAATCATTCTAAGTGAACATCAAAGTGGCCTTTATTTTACCCGAAAGAATCTGGGTCACTCTCTTTCAAAAATCTCTGTAATTAAAATGGATTTCAAAGAAATGTTGAGTACATTATAACCATGACCACTACAGTCACACTGAAACATTATAAATCTCTTTGTCTTAGTGTCCTTTGCTGAGATTCTACAAATATCTTAGCCATGCTTTGCAATTCACTGCAGGTTAGGCAATCAACAAATGTTGGCAGAATCAGATTGAACATAAAAAATTGTTATGTCCTTTTATCAAAGCATTTAATGATGGGCTGGGGAGGTAGCTCAGTGGAAGAGTACTTACACATGTGAGTCACTGGGTTTGATCCTTAGCACCACATAAATAAACATACAAAAAGGTATTGTATCAGTCTACAACTAAAAATATATGTATATTATTTTTAAAAGCATTTAATGATGCTGTATTCTTTTAAAATCTGAAATAAACTTCATATTTCCATCTTTTAATCATTTTAATACATTCCCATACATTAAAGTTAACATTTTTCCATATTCTTGAAATGTTAACTTGAATACCTGTGATTTTAAAAGCCCCCCCCCTTTTTTTAACAGTAGATAATTTGTATTTTATTATTCACTTTTTAAAAACCATCTACTACATTCTTACTCTATATATTTTAAACCTCACAATGACTTACAAGGTCAATCTAATCTGTGACCATGCTACTCAGTATAGTAGCTGTTACCCATATGTGTGTATTGTGCATTTGTCATAAACTAGTCCAAAATGAGATGTATATACAAATTTGCAACAGATTTCAACATATAACAAGGAAAAATGAATGAAATGAAAATGTCATTAAATTTTTTTTTTTTTTTAACCAGAGAGGTGTGTGTGTGGGAGAGTGGGGAAAAGTTGATAGATGCTTAATTATAACTAGTAGAAAAAAGGTCTGGTGTGCTATTTTCTCAGTAGGGTGATTATAGATAAGAGCAATGCACTATATATATCAAAATAAAAGCCCCCTTCTTTTAACCTACCATGTCACCCCACTTTTATTTAGGAAAGACTTTTCTTTTATTCTTTTTTTTTTAGTTGTTTATAAACCTTTATTTTTTTTAATTTATTCATATGTGGTGCTGACAATTAAATCCAGTGCCTCACACATGCCAGGCAAGTGTGCTACTGCTGAGCCCCAGCTCTAGTCTTTTCTTTGGTACGATGGTACAACACAATTAAACTTCAAATAATTTAAATATGGAGCCATTCCATTCTACTAGTACATGCATAATTTTAACTTAATTACATACTATACCTATCAAAGCTTAAAACCTAAAATTAAAATACTTTAAGTTTTATAATGTTTCTACTCAAAATTTAATTCCAATTACTAGGATAAACCCAAGTATTACTCTCCAGGGGTATACACTTTTAAATAATTTGTCCAGATGTCAAATGCAATTTTCAAAAATCCTTTCTACAGCAAAATTTCAAACATCTGTAAAAAACACTTGTTTTGAAAGTGGTTTACATTCATGACATTTGACCTTTTATTCCACACATCACAAAATTCAAGTTTCAAATACCATGCAAGCAGGAAATCTGATCATTCCTTCAGTAGCCATCTGCATGGTCCAATATCAAATATTAGTTCTAAGTTGCACTAAGTCATGTGTTACAAATCTTTTTCTGTAGCCTCTATAATTAGTTGTAATTTGTCTATTTTAAATGTGTTTCTTATGGGACATCTGGACTTGAAACTTCCACCTTTCCATTAAAAAAAATACTTAATGACTGGGTTTTTTCCTTTCCACCTTTTAATACAGGGCACAACATGGGTGGTATAACCAAGTCCAGACTTTAAAAAAAAAAAAAATCTAATAACAGATGATTAAGAACTATTTCAGTATTACCAAACATAAATGTAAAATAAAACTTACTACAATATAACTATCTACAGGTTTCTCAAATCAACCTCTCAAATAATTAAAGTTCACAAAGAAAGTTTTCATGAGAATATAACATTGGTCTATTTATTTTCAAGAACCACCTTATTTAAGTTAAATTGGATAATGCACGTTTAAAATCAAATATTTCATTAATGAAAAAAAAGATCTGAGCCTAATGAATTGATATAACAATTAATTTAAAGAATCTACTTAAGGGGCTGGGGTTGTGGCTCAGTCATAGAGCACCTGCCTAGCACAAGTGAGGCACTGGGTTCAATACTCAGCACCACAAAAAGATGAATAAATAAAGGTATTGTGTCCATCTACAACTAAAAATATGTTTAAAAAAAAAGAATCTTCTTAAAATAAGAAATAACTTTAATAACTCATAAATAAGTCAAATTTCACAGAAATTAAAGTTATACTTAGGTTTTGCTAAAACTACCTTACGGTTCTCATGAAAAACAGTCATTTTAATAATATTTATAGGGACTGGGAATATACCTTAGTGGCAAAGTGCTTGCCTAGCCCTCACAAGACCCTGAATTCGATTCCCAGCACCAAAATAAATAAATAACTTATCAATTCACTTAAAACTAAAAAGTAAATGTTAAATATGCAAGAAAAAAGTAAAAAAAAAATAATAATAATGACACACTACTACAAGATGAAAGTGAAACATACTTCACAGAATGCTGCTGTCCTGACCTGTTGGGCTTCCTGAATAGGAAAAGTTTTGGCACATACTCCTCTCATACATTGCTGGTGGAACTGCAAATTGGTACAGCCAATATGGAGAGCAGTATGAAGATTCCTTGGAAAACTGGGAATGGAACCACCATTTAACCAGCCATCCTACTCCTTGGTTTATACCCAAAGGACTTAAAAACACCATAATACAGGGACATAGCCACATCAATGCTTATTGCAGCACAATTCACAATAGCTAAATTATGGAACCAACCTAGATACCCTTCAGCAGATGAATGGATAAAGAAAATGTAGTATATATACACAATCGAATATTACTCAGCATTAAAAGTGAATAAAATCATGGCATTTGCAGGTAAATGGATGGAGTTGGAGAATATTATGCTAAGTGAAGTAAGCCAATCCCCAAAAACCAAATGCAGAATGTTTTCTCTGACATAAGGATGCTGATTCATAATGGGGATTGGGGGGAGGGGGATTGGGGGGGTCAGCATGGGAGGAATAAACAAACTTCCCTAAAAGAGGAGTAAGTAGAAGAGAGGGGTTACTGGGGTAGGAAAGATGATGGAATGAGACAGACAGACATCATTACTCTAAGTACATAAAACTGGTGTGACTCTAGTGTGTACAACCAAAGACATGAAAAATTGTGCTCTATTTGTGTAATATGAATTGAATTGCATCCTGCTGTCAGATATAACAAATCAGAATTTAAAATTTTTTTTTAAATAGCAGACAGCAACAACAACAACAACAAAAAAAAAACCTGATTATACCTTTGCAAAAACCATCAATAAGAAATGATGAGGGCTAGGATTATAGGTCTATTGTTAGAGTGCTTGCCTAGCATGGGTGAGGCTCTGGGTATTTCAATCCTCAGCACCACATGTAAGTAAAAAAATAAAGGTCAATCAATAACTAAAAAAATAAAAATAAAGAAGAAATGTACGATGAGTCAGAGAAGAAATAAATGTCTGATAAAAACCAGTTTCTGATACAAAAATAATAATGAAATTTGCCTTTACGGTAAATATATTTTCATTTTCTCAAAAATTAGCCTGATAGGGCTGGGGATGTGGCTCAAGTGGTAGCATGCTCACCTAGCATGCATGAGGCCCTGGGTTCAATTCTCAGCACCACATAAAAATAAAATAGACATATTGTGTCCACCTAAAAAACTAAAAAATAAATATTTTTTTTAAAAATTAGCCTGAGAAATTGATTTAGAAGATTTGTAAATAAAGATTCACACTGGTCCTTCACAAAAACTCAAAAATCTTAATCTAAAAATTAGACTGATTTAATCAGGCCTCTCTTCCATTGTAAATATAGGTAATAAGCAATATATATTTACTCCTATTAAGGTTATGATCAATAAAGCAAAATTTGTATGAAAATATCCTTTTAATGTTTTGTCCAAATTTCAGAACACCCTTATTTAAATAATTATTACTTTAAAAGGCATGTAAACAAAGTATATACAGTTATATTTATTCATGTGACAGTGAGTTCTAAAAGTTATAGAAATGTCAGATATAATAAGTATTAAAATTAGTTCACATTCAACAACTAGGTTTGATAATTTCTTACCTGTATTCCATCTTTAAGTTTCAATATGCATTCCATTGTATTGATGGTTATTACCACTGGTTCTGAACCCAATTTTGTCCATGGTACATGAATTCTCAATTCATGAATATGTCCACTTAAAAAAGTGAAGGGTAATTTCAGTTCCTTAAAACACAAAACATTAAAGTTAGTAAGCACTTAATATTTTTTATCCTTGTATCCAAATTCCTTTCTTAAAAATAAAATTTCCAATTCAAAATATTTCATTCATCACTGTTTATCACAAAGCAAAATTAAATAACTTATTAAACTATACTTTATGATAAACCACAAAAACTTATTATGCAACTTACATTTAATAAGTTACTTAAACTCTCTAGGCTTCAGTTTGCTACTCTGATGAATGAAAATGACATACAATATATGGTCTATGATAAAGGTTCACATGTGGTAGTGGTAGCAGTCATAAAAATGGATCAAAGCCCTAGACAGCAACACTACTTGAGAAAACTGCAGTTGTCTTAAATTTCTAAAATATGTCCTCAAAAGGTATCTGCGGGGCAAGTTGAAAGGGGGACTGAAGCGGAGAAAGGAGAATGACCTGACTAAATAAAAACTGACCAACTACAAAAACAACCTATGTACTTTGCCTAATTGAAGAGTTTACCTCAGTACTATTTGGTCATAAATTTCACATTTTTCTGATTGCTTTCTATTATTACTTGACAAAACTTAGATATGATAGCATAAATCTTCATCATAATCACTTTATACTACTTTGTTCCACTCTGGACAAAACTTTTGTTACAAGTCAACAAAGGAAAAAAGACTATATTTCTATCACATTTTTATAGCTATTGCAACTATGTGCAACAGTTAATAAAAAATTATTAATCTTATCCCCTCCGCACCTACTTGGTTTAGCAAAATACCAAATAGAGCTAAATACAGGCAGAATGGTAAAGTGCTTTACAACTAATAACTCTACAGCCAGCAGACATGGACTTAAATCCAATCTCTGCCACTTAGTACCCAATTACACTAGGTAAATTGTTTCATGTATCTGTGGCTCCTTTCATTATCTGTAAAATTTGAATAATTATAATCTTTTGAGGATTGAATCAATTCATTTTATAAAGTGCTTAGAACACTGGTCTTCCTCATACAGAAATCATTACAAAGATGCTAAATATCATTATTATTATTATTACTACTAATATTATTATAAAAGTGTGGGTCTAATTTATGTCTTAAACTAGAGACTCTAAGGCCAGATTACTAAAAATTTATTGTCACTACTATTTCTAATGAAGTGTTGTCACTGTTCTTTCGGATGGAATGTCACAACTTTTAACTACTTATTATTATATTAAGTTTAAACATGCAGTAATTATGTCAAGCATTATTTAGCTAGCACAAATTATATACTAATCAGTGTCTGCAACAAAGAAAGTATTTACTAAGCACTTACGATGGAAGAGGCACCATTCTAAGCACCTTACCTGCATATAACCATTTAATCCTAAGAACAACAAAATGTAAATACTATCAGCCTATTTTATGAAGAAGAATCTGAGGCATGAAGGGTCCAGTAACTTCCCCAAATGAAACAACAAGAAAAGCCAGAACTGAAAACTGAGACATATGACGCTAAAATTCTTTCTCTTAACCACTAATAATATTGCCTTTATATTACCCTTATGATTATTGATTACATTTATACTGGCTATGTGTTTCATTGGAAAATGAGTGGATTTTATTTCCATCTCCACCACCCTTTGACTTATGCAACTCTGATACATTTGCAAAATGGCTACCAGAATTGCAGTCTATAGGCACAAATTTCATTTTCTCAGGGAGAAGTTAAAAGATACCCAAATTAAACTCAAGAACTTGGTGCCATAATAATGTTACTCATCAGTTTAGCTACTAACAAATATTAATACACATGTTAGACATGGAATTTTAAACCATATAGCCCATGGTGGAGATCTAACTAAAATTCAACACTTATTATCCCTGGTACCAAAAAAAAAAAAGAAAGAAAGGAAGAAGTCAAATTATCACTGTTTGCAGATAACATGATCCTATACTCAGAAGATACAAAAAGCTCCATCAGAAGACTGCTAGAATAAAAATAATTCAATAAAGTAGCAGGTTACAAAAACAACAAACAATAATCAATACCTTTCCTATACATTAGTAACGAATCTGCTGAAAAAGAAATCAGAAAAACAATTCCATTCACAATATCATCTAAAAAATATTCTCTAGGAATAAATCTAACCAAAGAAGTGAAACATCTCTACAATGAAAATTATAAGGCACTGAAAAAAGAAATCAAAGACGACACAGGAAAATGGAAAAACCTCCTATGATCATGGTAGGCAGAACTGTTATTGTTAAAATGGTCATATTGCCAAAAGAAATATACAAATTCAATTTTGATGGGGATCAAAACACCAATGACTTCTTCACCAGAACTAGAAAAAAACAGTTCTAAAATTCACTTACAGAATAAAAGATCCAGAAGAGCCAAAAACTCTACAAAAAAAAAAAAAAAAAAAAAAAATCAATGCTGAGGCATTGCAACACCTGATCTCAAATTATACTACAGAGCTATAGTAACAGAAACAACCACCATACTGGATCAAAATGGACATGTAGACCAATGGAAAAGAAGACTTAAAGACAAACCCACCACACAGATATTAGATCCTTGACCAAGGTGCCAAAAGATATATATTGGAGAAAAGACAGCCTTTTTTAAAAAATTGGTGCTGAGAAAACAGGTTCTCCATACAAAGAAAAATGAGAGAAGAGTCTTATCTCACCATGCACAAAAGACAACTAAAAATGGAAGTAACCAGAAACTATGCAACTCCTAGCAATTAGGAAAATGCAAATGAAGACAATACCTCATCTCACTCTAGTTACAATGGCAGCCATCAGCAAAACAAACAATAATAAATGCTGGCGAGGATGTAGAGAAAAAAGTACACTTTTACACAGTTAGTGGGATTGTAAATTAGCATAACCACTACAGAAATCACTTCAGAGGTTCCTTAAAGACTAGGAATAGAACAACTATGTGACCCAACTCCTATATTACTCCTGATATTTATACTAAAGAATTAGCATACTGTAGAGATACATGCATACCCAGGTTCACAGCAGCATAATTCAGAATAGCTAAAATATGAAACCCATTTAGGTGTCCATCAACAGATGAATGGATAAAGAAAATGTCATGTAAATATACATAACAGTTTTATTCAGCCATAATTCTTTATGAAATTATGTCATTTGCAGGAAATGGATGGAATTTGAGAACAATATCTTAAGCAAAATAAATCAAAATCAGAAAGTCAAGGGTTGTATGCTTTCTTTTATATGTGGAAGCTAGAGTGGAAAAAGGGAAAAAAAAGATGGAATAAGGGTGAGTCTCATGAATATCAAAGGGAGATCAACAGAGCAGAGGAAAGGAACCAAGAAGAGGTAGGAGGGGACAAAGGGGTAAAATATGGGGAAATGATCTTGACCAAATTATATTGTTATATTCTGTGCATGTAAGAAAATATAACAGGCTGGGTATGTGGCTCAAGCAGTAGCATGCTCGCCTGGCATGCGGGGGGCGCTGGGTTCGATCCGCAAATAAAATAAAGATGTTGTGTCCCCCGAAAACTGAAAAACAAATATTAAAAAATTCTCTCTCTTTAAAAAAAAAAATATATATATATATATATAACAAATCCCATTATGTATAATTATAATGTACCAATAAAAACATACAGAAAAAATAAACATTACAACTTTAGTTATCTCAGGAAAAAACACTAAAATGTAATGACAATTTTATCTCTATAAAAATAAGATACAAAATAAATAAAATATAAAATGGTCAATTAATGAATAACATAAAACTTACAAAAAAACCAAGCTCCAAAATACATAAAGCAAACTCAAACAAAACTCAAAGGAGAAAGAGCTAATAATATTGGATGAAGAGTTTAATATCTCACAATAATGGAACAGACAAAAAATCAGCAAGTTCATAGAAAACCTGAAAAACATCAACAAAATACACTTGACATCTACAGACTTATAACTGCAATCAACAACTGCAAAAAATACCTATTCATCTCAAAGAAAATGAGAAAACATCTGAACTGAATAGAAATAAAAACACAATATATAAACATTCATTAGATGCACCTAAAGAAATGTATAGTTGTTAATGGCTATAACAGAAGAAAAATGTATCTCAAATCAATAACTAACCTTCCACCTTAAGAAGAAAAATGAAGTAAACCCAAAACAAGCAAAAAAGAGAACCACAATATTAAAGGCAGAGGGAAAGGGACAGTATTTACAGTTAAATTGTTGTAAAATTATTCAGGAAATGGTGAAAGTACTAAAGACATCTAATAAAGCAAATATGCATTTTGTAATCTTTAGTGTAAACAACTAAAATAATTTTATAAAGTATATAATTAAAGACTTTAAGACAAGAAGAATAACCAGGGTGAAAAAGGAACACATTTCAGGAAATTTTTTTAAAGTATATTCAACAATTAGATATCAAAATATTAAAACTTGTTATGTACTTACCATAATTTTAAGATATATAAAATGAAAACTGACAAACCTAAGAGATAAGCTGACAAATCCACACAGTTGGGAACATTAACATACGTCTCTCAGTAACTGACAGAAAAAGTAGACAATGGAAACAAACCCATAAGGATGTTTAAGATTTGAAGAACTAACATGAATTAGAAACAACAGATCACTCACTTCTAGAACACTATAGCAACAACTGTAGAATACATACCTTTTGCCAATGGTACATGGAACATTTGCAAAAACAGACCATACACTGAGTCATATATTTTAATGGATTGGAATCAGACTGTGCTGATCACAGGTGAATTAAATTAGAAATCAATGACAGAAAGTTGATTAGCAAATTTCCAAATGTTTGGAAATTAAGCAATATATTTCTGAATAACCCACTGATCAAAGAAATCAACATAAAAATAATAAAAATGTATAGCTGTTAACTAGAAAGATACAAATTTCTGTGTGACAGAGATAAATATTTGGTTAAAGAGAAATTCATAACATTAGATATATATATTTGAGTAAAAAAAGGCTTAAAAAAA